AGGATTTTTGTTTTCTTTACATTGAGGTACAAAATTGAAGGCTGTGGTCTTTGATTTTCATCAGTAAGTATTTTAAGTCCTCTTCACTTCCATCTGCATATTGCAGGTTGTTAATTTTTGGCTTTCACAACCAGAAATGTATTTTCTCACAGTCTAGGAGACAAGTAGTCTGAATTCAGAGCACCGACTCTAGGGAAAGTCTTTGTCTTTGTTAGCTCTGGAGAAAGGTCCCTGTCTGCTTTCAGCATCCGTAGGCCCAGTATTCCTCAGAGAGTGCCATACTCTAAATATTTCTGGACTGAAAAAAAATGTGCCATGCTAGCAATATGCCTCTAGTTTTTTACTTCCTGTGTCGCCCTGTCATTGTGCTGTGTTTAACATTTGTCTTCTTTCTGTATAAGCCTTGAGGACAGGGACTGTGTCTTACTCACCACTGTCTCCCATTGTCTAGCTAAGAACCTGGTAAACAGCAGGCACTTGCTGGCTGATAAATGGAACTGACCTTAGGCAAGTTACATGACTCCTATTGATCCTTGACTTTCTATTTGTCAAAAGGGACAAGGTAAATGTCTATGGCAAATGAGAAAACAACTGGAATGCAGATGGCAGATTAGATAAAAATACTGTATCAGGGTTAAATCTACAGTGGATTGCTGCCTTTGGTTATCTAAGAGAATAGTCTTAGTCTTAGGAAATACATATGAAAGCATTTAGAGGCAAATAATCAAGGGGTAGACAACTTACTCTCTACTGATGAAACAAACGGGCTAAAATGTTAACAAGAAGTGAATCTAGATAGATTATTAGGCTGCCCTGTGCTCTACCAGGCCCTGGTGTGGTGCTGTAGGATAAGCACTGGACTGTGAACTCAAAAGGCAGCAGTTGAAAGGCACCAGCCACTCTCAGAAACCTTATACAGGGTTGCTATGAGTCAGAATTGGCCTGATGACACACAGCAACAACATGCCCTATTTTTCTTATAACTTTTTTGTATCTATGAAATGATCTCCCAAGTAAAATGTTAGAAAACACAACAAAGCAAACAAAAGCAAAGACACCCTGTGAATAAGAGCTCAAGACGTAGCCTCTTCCATTAGTTGTTTAGGATTAACAGCTAGTCAGTGCAAGGCACATAGAAGGACCCCCCTTAACCAGTCAGATTACTCAGGATTTTGTCTTTTGAAACACTGAAGCATAGCTTTGATTGGGCTTTAATTACAAGGCACTAATAAGAACAAGTAGTCCTCCCTGACACAATAACCCATTTGATAAAGCCCTCTCAAGGAAGTGCTGTTCACAAGCAATAGGCAGTCTCTAGTCCTGGTGTGGCGCTGTGGGTAAATGCACCAGACGGCAAAGCTGTTTGAACTGCAAGGTTGGCGGTTCAAGCTCACCAGCTGCTTCTTGGAAACCCTATACAGGATCACTATGGATCAGATTCAACTCGACGGCACCTGACAACAACAACAACCAGGCCCATAGTTTACTTCCAGAGCATTTATACCATGTGTTGCTGGTACTATTTATTTGTGTTTACATAAAATCTTATATTGTGGTGAATCTGAATTTTTGAAAGGTTACATTCTCTTCCTACACACACACACACACACACACACACAATTAATTAATTAATTAATATGCATTCAGGTAAGGAGGACCTAAAAAGAGAGCTTATTTTCCAAAGATTAGGAGAAACTGAAACTTGGCAACAGAAGTCTGTTACATGCCACTGAGTTGGTTCCGACTCACAGTGACTCTGTATAGGGTTTCTGAGCAGTGGTTGGTGGGTTTGAACTGCCGACCTTGTGGTTAGAAGTCTAGTGCTTATCCTACAGTGCCAACACCAGGACTCCAGAAGTGCTCTAGACATAGAAAATACAGAAAAAGTTCAAGACTAGAGACATCTGGGAACAACTGGAGAAGTTCAAAACACCTCCAGAACAGATGATGATGTACTGCGAAGTAGGGCTGCACATAGTCCTCGGGTGCGTGTGGAAGTCTGGCTCCAATGTACATACCACGGGAGTCCTCAGGAATGCAGCGCTGGGCAGTGGGGAAAGGGCCCCAGAACGCCAGGCAGGAGAGCGACGTGTGGAAGTCTGTCTCCAGTGTGCATACCACGGGAGTCCTCAGGAATGCAGCGCTGGGCAGTGGGGAAAGGGCCCCAGAACGCCAGGCAGGAGAGCGACGTGTGGAAGTCTGTCTCCAATGTGCATACCATGGGAGTCGTCAGGAATGCAGCGCTGGGCACTGGGGAATGGGCCCCAGAGCGCCAGGCAGGAGAGCGACGTGTGCGGAGCAGGGCTGAGAAGGAATGTGTATAGCAGACACGGAAGAGAACAGGGAACAGGCACGCCAGTGGAGAAAGGGTCATGGACACTTTAGAGGCAGTGCGTGTACTAGAAACCACAATGTCCATTCTGACCTGATACAGGGTGGGATGATAGAGGGAGACAAGAGGAGACAGCCTTGTGGAATGGGAAATGAATCCTAAACACTGTGGGCAGCTACTGGAGGACTGGAGTCCTGCGGGGGCGCTGGACTGCTATCCATAAGGTTGACGGTTCAAACACATCAGTCATTCCTCAAAAACCCTATACAGGACCACCACAAGTTGGACCTGACTCAACAGCATTGAACAACAACAGCAAAGAGCTCTAAAACACACCCAAGAAAAGGATGGTTAAATCTGGGCTTCATTTAGACCGCACGATTTTGCCCCTTTCATGAGAATCGATAGGAAGTTATTGTTCTGGTATCAGAATTCAGGTATGTGCTCACACAGAAACGACCACTGTCCTTTCCTTCCCAAATGTGTGAGTTTCTATTTTCTCCCCAAATTCATTCTAGGCTTCAAGTTTGACCGTATTCATATGTACAGCAAGAGAGAGACCACGATGGGTAAAGTTACATAATTCATTAATGGTGGTGGTGGGTGTGTGCCACTGACTCATAGCAACCCTGTATAGTGTTTCCGAGGCTGTCAATGAAACGAAGACTTCATCTTCTCATCTGTCTCCCATGGAGTGACTGGTAGATTCGAATTGTTAACCTTGCAGTTAGCAGGCCAGCTCGTAACTCACTACGTTACCAGGGCTTCTAAATTCATTAGGAGGGAAAGATGAACATTTATTCAAGTAACATGTTTCAGAAGACAAATACGTTTCTTGCAGAGGCTTCTAATCACAGCAGATTTATAGGTAGAGAGTCTGGAGGAAAACAACTTTAGGGGAACAATTTGTAGAAATGAGAGAGACACAGCTTTGTCTACTAACAGGATCTCTAGGCTCTTCAGGCTCACTGTGCTGTCCATCTGTCCATGATGCCCAATAATAAGCTCAGGACACCGAATCCCTTGCTACTTCCTGTCACACTGTCTACAGCTCACTAACCAATGGGCCATTAGGATTCCTGCCTAGTCATAGGAGGTGTTTAAAAGCTACTAAATTAATAACCTGAGTACAATAGTAATCAGAATGGGACAATGGTACATCACACGGCATGTTCTGCCGAATCTTCCAACCAATGCTTTACCATTGTCCTTGTCTGCTATGTGTTCTCAAAATACAACACAGAAGATTCTAGTGATTAGTAATCAGAGTTCAAATGACTGGGGTCAAGAAACAGGGGAAAGGGGGAGCATGGTGGCTTGGTATAAAAGTCACAATTCTGGAGAAGCCTGTCCTCCCCAGTGTACCCTATGCATATGCGAAGCTGCAAACTAGACTAATACCAAATGGGTATGATGCCTAAGGCCTGTCCCTTGAGCCAAACCTCAGGCAGGGGCTTGGATAAAGTGGGCTTTAAACCACCCTCTCAGCACCAACCCCCCTCACTGTGGGTTTCAGTATCTATTCAGAGTATAGAAAGTTTTAGAATCGAGGTCTAGTTAACACATAGGCCTTCTTGACTGCCTGAAGACAAAAGGGAAGGGACAAACCTAAGCAATCCAGCCAGCTGGGCACCTTGTGGTCTGGTGGTCCAAAAACTGCCTGGGCTCTGAGGACAACAACAGATTTGTATGCTACCCATGATGCCCAAAGGCCTGGGGCCAGTAGCCTGGCGGTGTGGCTTCGGTGCCAACAGACTCACATTCGAGGCCTCGTTCAGTGTGGGCAAGTGGCTAAGTCCCAGTTTTGGTAACTTGAAAAAGTAGATGATGATCACACTGTCTCATGGGAGCCTTATGAAATGCAGGGAGCAGATTGATAGATGTAATGTACTTATCAGTACTGTGCCTGGCCAAAGTATCCCCTCAAATATCTACTGTTATTATTCTGATTGATCATCTGGGGCCTCAGGGTACAAAAAGCTGAACATTAGGTCCATAGTAATGAAATCCATGATAATGAACACTGGGTATATGCAGACATGGGGGCAGGCAGGAAAAGGCTAAGAATTGCGACTTTTCCCAACACATTTTACAAAATGGAAATCCCAAGAGCTATTATTTGTGTTAAACAATAGCTGATGTGCAATAGACACTCATAAAAACTCCTATATTTGTTTCTCCTCCTCTTTGGCATTATTTTTCCCAGCACAGTATCTGCTAGCTACATAATAAAATCAAAGCACTGCACCAGATCATGCTGGCATCTGAAGTCATCTCTGCTCTAGTAAAAGTGAGCCTTGTTCAGTTCTCTGCCCTCTCCTGTGGTTATTACACACTGAGTTTGGAAACACAGTCAGGGCACACATTCATTTCGCCGGCAGCTAAGGGATCCAAATAAAACCTTGAGAACTGATTATAATTGTGCTTCAACTGTTTACACTGCATTTAGTTCTATTTTAGGTATCCCAACTTAAACGATTCTAGGGGATGCTTCTTAAAAACCTAGCATCAAGTACATAAGTGAAAAGGAAACTGTGTATTTAATGGTGCGCTAGCGTCGTAGTCACTTACTTAGGAATGTGATTTTCCTTGGTTGCCAAGACAGCAACAGTTGCTGTGGAAATCACACAAAAAACAAGGATACTCAACGGAAACAAACTCCACTCACCTGCACAAAGATGCCCTTTCTCTTGTACTCCTCATGGAGGCACTGGGAGAAGAAATCGACAAAAGCCTAGGGAGAAGGAGGGGGATTCAAAGAAAACACACACTTTATTACATCAATCGGCCTAATTTGCATCCATGGAAACAGCACACACACAGTAATAAACTATTTAACATTCTAATTCCTAATCATTCTTTTACTTTCTAATGCAGAACTTAAAAGTCTCCAGTTGGTTTTCTTTCTGCTACTAAATTACAGATATTCTTACCAAATCGAATATTCAGACCAAATTTTTATTTGACTGGAAAAGGTTCTTCTTATTCTCTTTTAGAAAATTATTTTCCAAGGGAAACAAATATATAGTTTTTTGAATATGTCTGCAACAAAGGATGCATTCCTTCTCTCCACTTGCCACTCAATATGAATTCTGTTCGACTCTCTTCTATGGGGATTTGTTGTCAGTGCAGAGAAGAAAGAGCAAGCATCCTTTTGGACCTCTGGGATGGCAAGATCCAAGGAGAGTAAAGACGAATGTGACGGCCCAGCTTCTGAAAATACAAACTCTTATCTGTTTGTGGAACATAAAGGGCCGTTTTGTCAAATATGGACTCAACACCTTGAGGTGGAGACGCAAAGGATCAATAATGACCCTACAAGCATCCCAACTAGTTAAGAGTCTTGGAGCAGTGGAGCAGAACCAATGAGCTGGTGTGCTTACCAATCACTGCAAGAAACATGGTGCTCATTTTCAACATGCCGACTTGTATGCTTCAGGGAGACAGGAAGCAGGAAGACTAAGGATGAAGGGAGGGAGTATGCCAAGCTTTTTTTTTAAAAAAAAAACAGTAGTTGCGGGTTTTGTTTTGTACAATGGACAAAAAGAGAAAAAATGAACAACAAAAATAGAAGGCAGACTGAGATGAAATGAAGTGTGGGATTTGTTGTAAAAATGTAAAACTGATGGCATGTTCTGTAAATCTTCACTCAATTTACAACAAAAAGTAGAAAAAAAAAAGTGACAGGTGTTTTGTTCTTTTTCTCCCCATGATATAATGCAAATTCTTACTGTGATCTTATTTTGAAAGTAAGCTTGCTTACTTTCCATGTCTAAATGGTCAGTTTGCCTTCAGAGATGCATTCTGCGCCTCAACAAAGGACGTAAAAATGACGCCACTGATGGACACTCAGTGGGACGCACGCTTGAAAGGAGTTTCCTAGTAGAAATGTGGAGTCCTGGGGTGGCGCTATAGGATAAGCACTGGACTGCTAACCACCAGGTTGGCGATCAATCAAACCCACCAGCCAATCCTCAGAAACCCTATACAGGGTTGCTGTGAGTTGGAACCAACTCAACAGCACTCAACAACAAATGAGAAGAGGTGGGTGACAGTGTTGAATACAATTATGACATCTTACAGGGAGTTCTGGAAAATTCTTTTTTTTTCTCCAGAAGATACAGTGAATATGTGTGTAGTGAATATGTGTGTCTGGGTTATGCAACAAAAACAGTCACGCTCTAACCCTGTCTATCCTGTGCCTATTCTATGCAGTAATGTGCTGACTGGCTACATTTCTTCCACCCAGTTGTGTGTGAAGGTGACTCATTCATGAATCAAATCCCCACTCTTACTCATTGACATCATAGTCTAAACAACCGAGCAGACAAGCCTAGGCCAGCTCTCTCCAGAGAGTATAAATATCACTTTTGAAATCAGTAAACTATTGGAAGGGAAAAAAAGATCTGGCATCTTAGGGTCAATGGGTAGAGTTTATACCAATCAGTAGATGCTACCAAATCTGGGTCTCCTGAAACCAGTGCTGGGTGTTTCCCCTTCTTCTTTCTAGTGCACTGGATTTAACTTCAAGAAAGGGAAACCTATGTTAATTTCTCAGTCTGAAAATAAATTATTCTTCATTGTTACAATGACATGACTTCTTAAAATACTGTTTACCTTGGTTGCAGAATAGATGGTCAACAGTGGAACGGGGTGCATGCCACTGGCAGAGGAGATGTTCAGAATCACCCCTTTTGATCTACAAAGGAAAATGAAGCAAGTAAGCGGAATGAAATCATATACACAATGATTTACGAGTGATGATCAAGCTATACAATTATCTGAAACAAATGATCTCGCTGGTTTTCTACCCCTTGCCCTTCATCAATGTGTGGTATGTTTGGTCAATAAATGAGGCATAATTCAATCAACTAAAAATAGTTCTTCCTTATGATGAGCTCATTCCCTAATTTAGTAATCCAGGGCATGGCTGATCAGATCGACAGTCTTCTGGAGCAATCTCTTCCCTTTGAGGTCTTCTCCAACCACACCACCAAGAACTCTCACTCTTAGAAATGCTCATGTACTGCCGAGTGTTGTGTGTATTCCAGTCAATTACATCTCCTAGCAACCCTATGAGACAGAGTAGACTTGCTCCATGGGGTTTCTGTAATCTTTACAGGTCTTTTCTCCCCTGGAATCACTGGTGGGTTCAAACTGCTGACCTTTCGGTTAGTAGCCAAGCACTTAACCACCATCCCCCCTTCCAGGATTTGTCCTCAACTCCCTACATGCACCCTAATTTTGGCACATCATAACATGCTACTTGCATTCAATCACTCCATGAGTGCGAACCAGATAACATAACCCTAACCTTCTGGATGTCATAGCCCTCGCTCTACACTTTCCCCCAAACACTGCATGGGTCAGGGCTATAACAGGTACCTAATGAAACCTCTGACAATGAATGCATGGCTATGATCCGCCTCCCGCTTTCCTCATGTTATAGATATTCAATCACTAAGCAAAAAGTTGACTATATAGACTTAAGAGACTGGCACTGTAGGATATACACTGGACTACTAAACATAAGGGTGTTGGTTCAAACCTACCAGTTACTCTTTGGAAATCTATACGGACGGGGCTGCTGAGAGTTAGAAATGAACTTGATGGCACTTAACAACAACAGTTCTTAAAATATGTTTTTTTTCGGGGGGGAGGGATGGGCAAAAGGGAAAGCTCGATTTCTGCTGTTAACTTTTAGGAACCACTGAAACTTACCAGTAATTTTTAACTCTGTAAATAAACGAAAATTAATCTAAAAAGGGAGTCCCTGGATGATACAAATGGTAATCAAGAGATTACAAGCTCGAGTCCACCCACAGGTATTTCATAAGAAAGCCCTGGTGATTGACTTCCCAAAACGGAGCCACTGAAAACCGTGTGGCGCACAGCGTTACTCTGATACACGTGTAACGTGGGGTCTCAGTTAGTCAGAACTGACCTGATGGCAATTTCATTTTGTCATTTACCGAAAGCAATGTTATAAATATATCAGTTGTAAAAGTTGTTAGGGAGCAGGAACAGTTTCAGTAAAATGTGGAGTTACGGTTTTAGGCATTTTAGACAGAATTGACCAACAACTCTTCCCTTCTTCAGTGACTGCAGCCTGTCCCCACCACTGCCTGAATTGCCTTCTGCCTGATTTCTCACATCCTTGTTTTGAATGGACTTCCCCACAGCCTCTATTCTGAGCACTGGCCAAAAATGAATGAAGTATATAGAACCTATTTATGTGAAATAATAAAAGAAACAGGCTTAAATAGCATCTGAGTGATTTTAAACGTAAATCTAAAGAAAACTAATCCCAGAGGTCACCAGCCCATCTGCCAGCCTCCAAGAGAGATGCAACTTCTACCATCAAAGGGGCACGTTTGTCACTGAAACAAAGTTTGTTTCTTGTTTGGTAAGCGTGTGTCTTTTAACAGAATTCCTTATTAGTAACACAAACCTTTCTAATCAGAGGGAAATACCATTAAAATTTTGGAGCTAGACATCAAATTGAAAATTAGGGGTTTGAAGAAAGTTGGAACTATTTACTTAGTGTATTATGCCTCTATTACTGTCTTGTGCTGTCTCTCAGAGACAGAAGATGTTTTTCTTTTTAAAGTAAGAGGGTAAGAGTTTGTATCAGGAGTTAGGACTCAGCCCTTCGAAGATAAAGACTGCAAAGTAGCAATAATACTACTTGGTCGGAGTCCTGGGGTGGTGCTGTGGGCTATGCGTCACACTGTGAAATCGTTTGAACTGCAAGGTTGGCAGTTCAAGCTCACCAGCTTCTCCTTGGAAACTCTATACAGGGTCGCTATGGGTTGGAATCGACTCGACGGCACTTAACAACAACAACAAAATAATAAAATAAATAGAATAAAAGTCACTTTTGTTACCAGGTCCTTTTAGTAAACTATAACGTAAGATGTTTAAAATGGATTTCTCGGAGGACTTCTGGTTTGCCCTGGCTGCCAGGTGATACTGGTGAGGGGATCTCCAGGTTCAGGGAGGGGGAGGCCTTCCTGGGGCGAACCCACGCCCTCGCGGCCACCATAAGTCTCGGTACTTCAGAATCTTAGGCCCGCTTTTCTGAGAAATCACCGTACTGAGAGTAAAAAGGGTTGTCCTACAAAAAAGTCATTGGGGAGAGGGCAGCGCTTCCCTGACCGGGCAGGACAGAGTAGACACTGGAGAGGGAGAGAAAGGAATAGTCAGAAACATCACACTAAAAGGCTTGTAAGTCCGTCTTCTGCCTTTAACTGATTGGAATACCTATTCCACTGGGGCTACAGCGTACCCTGTGAACGAGGCTTCCTGTGGAGCCTTTACAATACATAAACCTATAGGTAGAAACCAGAACCACATCCAGATCACCAGAGATGAGAAATCCCCACTTGAAACGACGAGCTGACCAGCGTGGAGCGGCGAGAAGAACAAAAGATACGTCTAATGAAAGACCTACAGGAAAAATATGATACAATGGAGGCAGACGGACTATTACTACAGGAACAAATGGGTCGCTTCCCTAGGAGACATTGGGGCAGTTGGTCGGGTCCTACCAACGCAGGCCCCCGTCCAAGACTGAGACTCGCTAGGTGGAAATGCACGCTCGGATTGGTGACCACACACATCACTGATGGGGAGATGTAAAGGCAGCAATGAAGCGGCGAGCTAAGCCTCACAATATTCAGAGGGCTTCTGTGGACCCGGTTGGGGACCTGGTTGGCAAGCAGTGTGAGGCGACCTGAGGACTCCTGGGCCCAGAGTCAGTGACGTGGCCACGGAGGACTCAAGTGGAGAATGGAGCTGCCGGCTGATGGGAAGAAAGGGCATGTGCACAAGAACACCCACACTTGCAGATGACTGGATGATCAGAGCTCAACCAGGAGAAGAAAGAAGAGGGGGGTGGGGGATGGGGGGAAGAAGATCGAGCTGATTCAATCTGATGAACTTGACCTATACCTATGAATGCAGTGACTCAAAAGAGGCAACAAAATCCTTACAGCAAGAAACACTCCCACCCCCTCCACACACAGAGTAGACAGAGATGGGCAACTTGGACATTGGATACCCAAATGGGGAGGGAGGGACTACAAAGGCAAGAAGTAACTTGGTTTACAAGCTTTTAAGAGGGAACCTAGAGCTAAAGGGCATGGAGGAAGGCAGAATCTCCAGGGAGTACTATCCAATCTGTCTAGGTGGAGCTGATGAAATGAAATACAGATGGGTTACTCGCGATACTGTAGTG